CCTTGCTTCCCCTGGGGGGCTGCCGCTGCCACCGCTGCCTGCAACCCAAGCTGTCCTGGAGGGGTAAGTTGCGGGCGCTCTCTGGGGAAGAAGCTGCTGGGCTCTCGTGGCGAGAAGGTTTTGCAGTGCTGCAGTTCTGATGGGTGCGACCTGCTCTCCTGGTTCTTCCTTCCCTGTCTTCGCTTGGTGTTGCTGGCAAAACAGCTGACTGCTCCTGTAGAAGGTTGCGCTCCTCGGTGCTTCGTAGACCGTGTGGGCTTTGCCCTGCGTGAGAATTGGCGCTCCCACGCTCACCAGGTGCCGCCCTTTCTGTTCAGCATCTCCTGTGGCCGGGCTTCTTTAAAGCCATCTTGAGTGCTGCAGGGACTTGAGAGCTGAAGCCAAAGGTCTCCTTTTGGGACGGGGTGTGGTAACGTTCCTTCTCGTATGCGCCGGAGGTCATTTCCTGCCCCTTCCCGCAGCCCCTGCATTGTGGCCCACAGAAAGCTTTTGTGACAATTCTGTCGAGGTTACAGCACAGTTTTCTGTGTGCAAAGCAAGCTTTGTTTTGGGAGGTGGTCGGGATGGGGCCAAAAAGGCACTTAATTCCATCAGAGGGGAAAGAGGCTCCCGCCCACCAGTGTTAAAATTGCATGTGCGAAGGGGAGCTCTTGTCTCCTTTGTCGGCCGTGGGTGGGTGGCGAAGCCCTGAGGCGCCAGCTGGGGCACCCACTGCCCCTGAGCCTGCGCAGCCAGCTCCCCGGGAGCTGTGGGGCTCCGCCGTGGGAGGGTCTGAAGCAGAGGCTGACGGCCTTTATCTGTGGCGGCGAGGAGGTCTCCGGGGCCCATGGGTTCTCCTGGGCCCGTGGGTTCTCCTGGGAGGGGGGTGGGCGGCAGGGGCTGTCTGGGAGGCTCCCGCCTGAGAGTCTCCCCCCTCCTCCCTCGCAGGCTGGGTGGCTTCTACACCCTCCCCATCTGGCCGGGCCTCCGCCTGGTTTCCCTCAACATGAATTTCTGCTCCGAGGCAAATTTCTGGCTCCTGATCAACTCCACGGACCCGGCCGGGCAGCTGCAGTGGCTGGTGGGCGTCCTGCAGAGGGCGGAGGAAAGTGGAGAAAAGGTGAGCTGGCGGGGCGAGGCGGTGCTGGGAAGGAGCAGGATCGGCCGGCTGAGTCGCTTGCGGGGCGCGAGGCGGGCCTCCGAACGGGGCAAAGGGCAGGTCGCTCCCACGTTGCAAGCGGGGCACCCACCGGTTCGGACAAGCAGCCGGTCCCAGGACGGTGGCCCTGTGCTGCTGCCCCTGACCCTTTCTCTCGCCTGCAGGTCCACCTCATTGGCCACATCCCTCCGTCCTCCTGCATGCGAAGCTGGGGGTGGAACTACTATCGCATCATCAACAGGTACAACGGGCCAGCCGCTTCCTCTGCTGGGCTCAGCCTGGCACCACTGCCCAGGCCTGGTACCCCTGCTGGGCCCAAGAAAGTGGCACCCCAGGATCTCCTGGGGCCTCCCCGCTCCGTCCCCACTGCCTGTCCCAGCCTTGATCCCGTCTGCAGCCGCAAAGGGGTCCTCCTTCCACTTCTTTGGGGGCAGGGAGGAGGGGCTGAAGGCATCTCTCGTCCCTTCCACCCCGCCACGGAGGCACCTGCCAGTGCCTGTCCTAGACAGCAGCGTCCAACTTCTGCCATGGGCAGAGGCGGGGGGCCTGGTGGACATTCCTCCGGCTTTCCAGTCCCAGACCAGCTCCTGGTGACCGCATGGCTCTCTTGGGGACAGCCTGGAACTCGTGGCCTCATCGCCCCCTTCTGGGGAGAACTTTCAGTCTGGTCGCGACCAATCCAGCCCTGCTCAGCCCTTCAAGGTTGGGCAAGGTCGGCTCTGTCTGGCCGCCTCTCTCACGTCCCGCCCTCGATGGGTCCTCAAACCAGGCTGGTTAAGCTCTGGGTACCGACAGTGTTGCACCTGAATGCGGCCGCCGAGGGACGAGATCAGCGTGCTTGCCGTTAAACCCGTCACGCCCTTGAACGGGAAAGCAGCGTCCCAGCACGTGGCGGGTGGAGAGCCCCCTCCTGGCCCCCGGGCGCCCAAAGGCTGACGGGCTGCTGCTCCGTGCCTGAGACCTGGGTGCCTCCTTGCCACCCCCAGGGACTGGGCTGTGCCGCTGGGGGTCCTGGGGGCGCCTCTTCTCCCCCCCTCAGGCCATGCCTGCTCACCCCACTTTGGCTCCAAGCCAGGCCAAACGTTCTGGGGAAACCCGGCATCCCTGCTCACGTCCGGCTCTCCCTGCAGGTTTGAGAGCACGGTGGCAGGGCAGTTCTTTGGCCACACCCACTTGGATGGCTTTGAGATGTTCTACGATGAGGAGACGCTCTCGCGGCCTGTGGGCATTGCTTTTCTGGCTCCAAGCGTTACCACTTACATCAGACTCAACCCAGGTGAGGCGCCGCCCTTCGTCCCGGCAGGCAGGTCCTTCCCGAGCCCAGCCATTAACTCTGGCGTTCCTTCCAGGGTACCGGATCTACCACGTGGACGGGGTCCGCTCCGGCAGCTCCTGCATGGTCCTTGACCACGAGACGTTCATCTTGAACTTGACGCAGGCAAACGTGCCAGGTGCCGTGGCTCAGTGGCAGCGCCTCTACGGGGCCCGGGAGACTTACGGGCTCCCCACTGCCTTCCCGGCGGACTGGAACCTGCTCCTGTATCGTTTGCAGACTGACGAGCAGCTCTTCCAGCGCTTCTGGTACCTGAGGTATAAGGGCCATCCGCCCAGCCAGCCATGCCATGACGCCTGCAAGGTGGCCACGCTGTGCGCCCTCCGCACCGGCCGTGCGGACGACCCCAAACTCTGCCAGACCTTTAAACTGCCCTTCCCCGAAATCCAGGCCTGGTGGCGGCAGCGCCAGCTTTGCTAGCTGGTGGCCAAGAAGATCCTTGGAACAGTGAGGGGTGAAGGGGCCCTGCCCTCTGGCAGGGCAGCTCTGTGGGTGTGGGCACAGCTTGGGGCTCCTGCCGAAGCCCCCCCTCTTCTCTCGGGCATTCCACTGGGCTGAAGAGCCAGGCGAGCTCCCTGGACCGAGCCCTTCAGGTCACCCCCACCAAGATGTGGAAAGTGGCCCCGAGACTCTTCAGAGGAGGTGGGGTGCAGTGGCTGCTCTCTATCTGCCTGTACAGCTCCCCTCTGCCGCTTGGCAGCTTCTCCCCTTCTTTTTGTGGGCACGTTTGTCTGCCAGCTCTCCAGGGAAGCGGGGCTGCAAGATTTACCCTGTTCCCCCATCTTGGAAGGCATCCGCAAAAGAGGGGCAGAGGCCTGGATGGAGTTTGCGGCCAGGGGCTGTCTGCAGGGTGGGCTCTCAGGAATCCTTTCTGCTTCTCCCACCCCCTCTCCCGCCTGCCACAGCGGCAGCCTTGCCCAGCCTCTGCCAGCCTGGGATTCTTCTGCAGGGGAGGGGCCCTCCATGAACACTGCTCCCTTCTGTCTTGTTCCCCCCTCCCCAGGCAATAAATGGTTTGTTTCTCCCTCACTGGGTCTCCTTTTTTGCCTGCCAAGCTGTGGTCAGTCACTCGCCTTGTGGCCCTTGGCCATCCCTTCCGTGCCTTCTAGGTGACCAGCTGGCTGCCACCAAGCCCAGGGAGAGAGGGAGACAAGGGCAGGGCGGGCAGTGCCCAAGACACAACTTCCTTTCTGCTCGAGCACCCAGGAGCATCCACCCCACGGCAGGCAGGCAGGCGGACAGGACAGGAGGGAGGGAGGGAGGGAGGGAGGGAGGGAGG